AAAGCTCACTGAGGCTTGCCTGCAAAGGCGTGCGCAAGCAATTTCAAAATTGCGAGCTCAGAAGCACAAGGACTCGACTCGATGCAAGTAGGTGGAGTGAGAGCTGTGCTTTGGCGAGTTGTTGCCAATTTTGTCCTTTGAAGAATTGCACAACCCTTGCTAACAACTTGGCTTGGCATTGTCAAAGTTTGGCTAGTTGTTGAAACCGCGCCCACTGCTTCTTTAGAAGATGACAATAGATCCAGGAAATGTATTGAAGCCAAAAAATCACACCACTATCACTATCACCACTGTAGCCAAAAGGCACTCCCTGGTCAAGTTGCTGGCATGGCGCTGGTTTACCCGTGCAATTGCTCAACTGTGCGGACCGCTCGATTCCTCGCACAACACTACCCCGGCCACACCATGAAACAAAAATGCTATTAGGGGCTCCTGGCATCGCTACTAGGAGCAGGAACGTTACTAGGGCTCCTGGCCTTACTACTAGGAGCAAGAAAGCTACTAGGGGCTCCTGGCATCGCTACTAGGAGCAGGAACGTTACTAGGGGCTCCTGGCATCGCTACTAGGAGCAACGACGCTACTAGGGGCTCCTGGCATCGCTACTAGGAGCAAGGGCTAGGGGCTCCTGGCATCGCTACTAGGAGCAAGGACGCTACTAGGGGCTCGTGGCCTTACTACCAGGAACAAGAAGCTACTAGGAGCTTTGCACCACACTACTAGGGGCTCCTCGCACGACTCACACTATGTTGTCGCTCTCATCCACCACATGAGCAATGGAACAATGGATGCGGCAAACCAAAAGCTATCCCATCCAGATCGTATCCGGCTCACTGCACTATGGCAACCAGCCCATATGCACATCCATCATACGCAGCTACAGGCATGGTTGACCTGTTCATCATCACAGGCAATCTCGCTGACCTTTGCAGCCAAAAAGACACAAACATATGTATATAATATGTTATATATATGTATATAAAGGATGACAGGATGACCATGAGTTTGATCTTCTCTGCAAGTCAACACATGCCCATCAGAAGCAGCAGCAAATAAACCATCAACAAACCTGGAAATATATTGCAGACCTCAACTTCGGCTGAAGGCACCGCCCCAGCACCGCTGTATGACTCCCCGGAAATCCAACTTTTACAGCCAGAACAACGTTCCATCCGCCAACAGGCCGAAGTCTTTTCGTATTGTTGCTGAGCATGTAGCGGCCTTAACAAGTCGACAATTTAATCCTAAATATAGCTAAACTTCCCCCCCCTCCCACACACACACACACACTTATGGATATGCGTACTGACTTGACAGCGGTGCCACACGCCGGCCTAGGGTTCCATTTCCTAAGGGTACAGGTGAGGAAACCTGAAAAGGAAGTGGAGGTCCAACAAGTTCAGCAAGGCCATAGAGTCTAAAGAGACCACCGAACGATCGACCGACAGAATGACGTCGTCCGCTCACATCTGCAAATCAAAACCAAAGCCCTATGCAACACCATGTCTTCGAGGTTCTGGGCTTAGCCTCATGCCATTTGAAAAGAATCGCAGGTACGCTGGAGTGGCCAACTCCAGTATCCCATCTTGCTGCCTAGCTTTGTTAGACCAGGTCAGCAGCAAGATGCCGGGTCCCCCTGCTTAAAACAAAAGGAAAAATAAGAAAGCGCAATCCGATTGGATCCCTGTGATTACAAGGGGCACACACACACACACACGCCTCCCCGAGGGGAGGCGTCAAGCTAAGGTGAGGGCAAATGTGCATGCGTGCGCGCACAAGAGACAAAAGAATGAAGACATGACAGGAGGACGCGACGGGACAAAGGTGTGTGTGTGTGTGGTGGAAATGAAAAGGGAACCAAGTGCACAGGGACACCCGATGAAGCCCACCTCATTGTCAAGACCTGGGCGACCTGAAACCTGTTTGAAAATGTATGTAGAAGTGCACGTACACACTAAGGTCGGGACCAATGTGCGCGCAAACGAAGAAAAGGATGAGATGACCAGACATGAAGACAGGAGGACATGAAAGAAAAGAGGAAACAAAAGTGTGTGAAGGGGAAGGGATGAAAGGGGAACCAAATGGAGGGGACGAAAACCGATGAGACCAAACCTCATTGCAACGACCTAGGTGACCTGCCTCGTTTCAATGTACACGCTGTGTGTGCACCCAAGGTCGCGACAGGTTCCAATGAACCTCAAAAGTACTTCGGTCGCTCTGACCACGTTGAGGCGTTAAGCCAGCTTGGACCGCTGCGGTCACGTAAAGGCATGAGCAAACTTGGAATTCCAAAAATGAGACAAACATCCCACTTCTTGTGGCGTAAGCCATCTGCTGTCCGCTCCGGACACTTACATCTCCGGGCAGGGGAGATAACGACAAACCCCCGTTCGACGGGTCCACGGGAGGCACTCTACGGGCTCATCCCGAGTTGGCACGAAGCCAAACACACTTATGGATATGCGTACTGACTTGACAGCGGTGCCACACGCCGGCCTAGGGTTCCATTTCCTAAGGGTACAGGTGAGGAAACCTGAAAAGGAAGTGGAGGTCCAACAAGTTCAGCAAGGCCATAGAGTCTAAAGAGACCACCGAACGATCGACCGACAGAATGACGTCGTCCGCTCACATCTGCAAATCAAAACCAAAGCCCTATGCAACACCATGTCTTCGAGGTTCTGGGCTTAGCCTCATGCCATTTGAAAAGAATCGCAGGTACGCTGGAGTGGCCAACTCCAGTATCCCATCTTGCTGCCTAGCTTTGTTAGACCAGGTCAGCAGCAAGATGCCTGGTCCCCCTGCTTAAAACAAAAGGAAAAAGAAGAAAGCACAATCCGACTGGATCCCTGTGATTACAAGGGGCACACACACACACACCTGAAATAGCCGGAAGACCAATTCTACCACATGTGCAGAAGATCATGCAAACCATGGCAGCCTTTGTTCCTGAATTTTCAACCAGTTTGCCCGTTCACACCGCCATTGCATTCCACTGATTGATGCAGCCCAAATTCTTCCTTTGGAACAATTGCCTCAATCGTGACCTTCGCGTGGCCAGGATCCAACAGTGCTCAACCTTTTCCACCGTAACCCCAAATCGGGTACGTGCATGCGCTCGCATTCGGTCTCCCCACCTTTCCTTGGTCCGTGTTCATCTTAGTCGGCGCGTAATTCATCCCAGGTGACACATGACACATGTAAATGTTGCGACTTTATCTCGCAGGTATTTTTCTGTATGATGCGTCATGCACAACATAAATTGCAAAACACAAGCATGCTTCACGCAATGGACCAAATACAATTGACGTATCAGGACATCTGAAAACAGCAGTACAACTCAACATGGCTATTGGTCATTGCATGACCCACCAATTTACTGCATAGATATGACATGATTTATCTGAGCGACTCTGTTTATGTCTCATGTGTATTTTGCATGGTTTTGCACAATCGAATTTGGTGAGTGTATTATCGTGTTCCAAGTTTTGCACGCGACAGATGCTGAAGGCTGTTTCCAGGGTTCTGTGTAATCTTCTGGCATCATCGGTCGGATTGAAACACGTGCACTTTGCTCTGAAGATTTAAGCAGAGTCAAATTCAAAGCTACTGGGGGAGGAGGAGGCTGCTCATGAAGACTCCAGCTTCTCGTCCGGGAGTTGTTCTTGCTGTCTCTTTATTGTTTATCAGCCTCCCTGCCAAATGCTGCCACCAAATGCTGTGCATCTAGCCTTCCAGCCAGTATCTTTGCCGAGTTGTGTTTGGAGGATCTGCATCAGCACGTCCCTTCTTGGCAGGTTGAGGTCTTCCGGCTCAGCTACAGGCGCTTTCCTCAGCAGTTCCGGGCCTTCATTTGGCTCTGTTTAAACGCATTTTCAGGGCATGGCTTTGAGCTTGCTTTGAAGCCATGGTGACAAGGCAAACGGGAGAACATCTTCTCGGCACACGTTCATGTACTTTCTGAAGCAGCTGTTTTCTTGTTTTAAAACATTTGAACAGGGCTCTGGAGTCAACAATGCCTTTTGCCTTCAGCCGTGCCATTTCATTTATGCGGCAAACTCCAAATGGTGGCTCTTGGCCTTACGCAGGATAGAGAACGGCCAGGCAAAACTTGGACGGAATACCCGGAATACCCTGCTGTCAGAGAAACATACTGTACCTGTGATGCATCACGCCTGTGCAAGAACATATGGACCCATCGTAGACATGGTGTTATCGCTGTTTGATGAGTGTATTGGATGCTTCGAGTACTGTACAATGTACAAGCTCATAAAAAAGGCCGTGACAAAGGAACATATTGAAGAACTTAAGCGGCGTAACAACTCTTCATAACTCATAAATCCAACTGTACAATCAAGTATAGTTTCAAAAGAACTATTTTATATAAATCAGTGTTTTCGTCTTGCACACATATCTGGCCAGCTAGGGAAGGCGCACACCGACAAACAGCAACGAAATGAATGTCAAACACTTGCAAAGTATGAAGATCAAAAGGAATCACAATCGCTTTGGACTTACGTGCCTTACCTGAATCATCCTTGAGCCACTTGTCTGTGACGCCTTTCGTAGCTTGGCAGGAGGTTTCCAACGTCTTATTGGATGTCTCCCATAATCGCTACCTACACGGGGGCACTCAAACACTTGCATGAGCACTAAAACAAAAAAACAAACCATGTCTTTTCTGTGTGTGTTAGAAGTGCCTCAAATTTGGTGAAGCTGGACTCCGGACCAACACATTAATGTCTGATATTTGCAAGGCCAGGAGTGCCCCAAAATGCAAACACCACTGCGCGGCAGCTGGCAAGCACAGCTGACGAATTTGGCCAGGTGAGTGGATGTACAGCACAAGTGTAGAAATGTCCAAGCATTTGCAGTGCTACGAATCCGCTGTGCAGGTCATCTTGCAAGGGTTCAAGTCCATACCAGCTGCTTTCTGGCTGGAAGGGCTGTCTAGCTAGCAATGCAAACCTTACTTGGACATGTTTCATATTTGATATTTGCTTCACCAGCCAACAAGCCCATGGGCAGCCCTATGAAGTCCACATCGTGCACCGGCCAAACCTCCACACAAATTTTCTGCTCTCAGCCTCAAGTCAAAACCTGCGTGTAAGCGGCTCCGCCTCCAAGCATGCAAGGAAATCAACAATCAATATGAAAGGCACTCTCTTCCAAAACAGTGCGAGAGACTTCCATGTCTTTCCTTTTTTTTGCATTGCATTGCTGCAAATAAGGTCCTGTTCCTGGACTCAAACAACTTTTGAGCCTCGCTGAGCTTTGACCGAGAGGGCCGACGAGGCAAATTCTGAGGGCCACGGTCTGAAGGAGGCCTGAGCATGTGCAACAGCAACCTGTCTTAAATCTCAAGATTGAGTCGGTTCTGTTACTTCTTGCCACGTCATCTCTCAGTCAAATTGTTTCTCTGCAAGTTGACATCTGCACAAGGCGTGAACTTGAGTGCAAGTACAAATTCTTAATTAGGCTTGCATGTTTACCTTCACTCTGTAACTGATAAATGCTGCATTCACAGTTGTTTTCAAGCAGGCTGATTCACTCCGGTGCCCCTGACTGCGGAGGCTGCAGCGACTGTGAGCTTTGGAAACCCACCTGAGAGATACCAAAAACAGAACATGCATCCATATCCATGCATTGTTGATACTGACAAAAAGTGGTCTGCGTCCACAGCTGTTTGTCAGAGTAGTGTTCCATCTGGTTAGATGAGACTATTCAACCTTATAGTTAATACTTAGATAAGAAGTTGCTAGGAATGATTTTCAAGGCAAGTAGTCTCAGCAACATGTCAAAGCATGGCTGCCAATGCATTGATTTTGTTTGAGCACTGCATGTATAAAAATCCACATTACCAATCCGATCTGCTATGATACGGTAGAACTCCAAAAACCAAATTCACATTCGCCCTCTGCAGCTCTTGGCGATTATTTTGCCTTCAAACGCCTGTTGCAGTCGCGCGGTCTGAGCACTTTGGCCTGGCAACAATTGTTGCACCGACGAATCGAACTTGAATTGAGAGTCCAAAATTATCCCGGCAAGAGACCCTGGCAGCAGAAAGTCTAGAGATCTAGACGCATTGGAGTTGCCAGTGATGAAGGTGGAGATCGTGGTGATGGTGGTGATGATGGTGGTGTTGAGTAAATGCCACGAAATCTGCACTTCGAGCTTCACAAGGTACTGTGCTTGCCACGAACTCTGCGCATCGAGGTTCACAAAGTGCTGCACCTGCCACGAAATCTGCACTTCGAGGTTCACAAAGTGTGCGCCTGCCACGAACTCGATCTACACTTTGAGGGTCACAAACTGCTGCGCCTGCCACGATTTCTGAAAGCGATCCACGTGTAGAAAAGTCACGATTCACTGCACCTGTCACGAAGTCAGAGCGCGTCGAAGATCACCACCATGACCAAAGTGCTGCGCCTGCATGAAATCTACACATCGAAGTAAAGCCGTTCCGACACCTTGCACCTGTCACGAAAAGTCGGCCAAAACACGAGGTTTCCCTTGCGCCTACCACGAAAAGTGACCACCACGTCCGAAAATACGCACGGCGCCACTACGAGAGCGCAGTGACAACCGCGATTAGACACCGGCCCTTAACCACTACCGTAAGAACCCCTAGTGTGACCACACTGTTTGGGGAAAAAGTGAGTATATAGAACTGAGAGTGCATTTGAGATACGGAAGGGTGAGAGAACGAGAAGCCGAAGAAGTTTAATGACCAAGGCCTCTCTGTTTCCTGGCTCCCAATAGTAATCGCAAGCAGCACTCAAGAATGGTGGGGAGTTTGTATCTCCGAGTCTCCAGGGAGATAAATGAGAGAATCAATGTTGGTTTGAGGTCAAGCCAAACAAAAAAACGGCTGAGCTAGCGAGGAGAGATAATTTGCATGAAAGCAGGGCCTGTGAAAAGAAAGCTTCAAGGGTTCATACTTCAAGTGTTCATGCAAAAGCGGACAATTTCCAGCTCCTACAAATACTCGATTCCACTGCACTGTGCTACCCAAGATCACTGTGCCTGTAGCTCCGTGATCGGAAGTTCTCCTTGACTTTCTCCCATGGCAAACCACAAGTTGGACATAACCTCCAAGAAGGCTCCGAAGGCATGCCAAAGACATGTATTGAAAAAAGCAATAATACACTTGCTTGGGCCAGCGCATTTAAAGTCTGCTCTGCGCATAATATTCCCAAACACCCGCATGAACTAATTATTATTGACATGTAATATATATATAGTATATACATATATTCATTGTATACTGAATATTCTGTACTCTGCGTTCCTAGCTTCCTGGCACAGGTAGCTACATCCCTTATGCAGTAGAGTGCGCGCATGTCGTGCCTCTGGTCTATTTACCGGCACTGCTCTCTCTCACAAAATAGTCCCCTCTACACTCAGCTAGTGAATGGACACATTATTGTGCGTCTTGAGCATCACCTCAGGGCGCCTTGACAGTCTCACAGCACTTTGGCTGAGAAAATTGTTGGACAGTTGGAAGTAAGCACCTTGCGTTTCAGCTCGCGATAGTATCCATCAGCATGAAGCAAAGTCAATGTATACAAAAAGCAGCATACTCTGGCTGCAACTATCGGTTCTATGTTCTCAACAATGACAACATGGAACAATTTTTGGCAAATCGCATATTGTACATGAACCGTCGCAAAAGACAACAATCTTGACTGCCATGGCACTGCTGGGAAGTAGTCCCCTTGTGGCAGTTTTGTATTCTTGGCCTCATCTTTGGCAAAATTTTCCATGTTGGCATCTTTGAAGTAGCTTGGGGTAGTCAAGAAAGGCAAAATTAAAAGCGACACACAACTGAGATGCTTTTCTCAGGAAGAACGTGGAAGCAAAACAAACAACGTCCTGAGCTCTGTGCCCAAACGCCTTGGGCTTTTCGCTCACCACCCTCTGCGATCCACCTAGATAGCTGATGCATCAAACAGGAGAGGCGCTCTTGAAGAGAACAAAGAAACCGTGCAGTAGCACAAACTGGAACAAACAAGCTCAGTAGCAATAATCTGTGTATATATAATATATTCGACATGATGCTCTCTGAGTTTGTGCTGCCTGAGAACCCTGCAGCTCGTTTTCCACAAGCTCAACAGACCTGGGGCAATTCATCCACAAATTTGTCAACATGTATGATTTGTTGTGTGACAAGAATGCTGTAAGCCAGTATCGTTCTTGAAAAGCATGTGAAACACACACACATATATTATGATACTTGTTTTGTTTTTTGCATGTTTTCCTTTTGGGATGTTCTTGCTGCCTTCGCTGGAAAAAGTTGACATTACCCTGAATTACATTTCACTCGTCGCATCCTTGTCAGAACGATTGCTGTAGGCACTCCGTTGGAGCATCCTGGATATGCTGAATTTCTTGAACAGGCTCGTTCCCAAGAGCTGCAAGAGCTCGAGTTTAACACTCCTTTTTGGCCAGGAACAGTGTCTGCCCCTCGAAGGCGTCAATCTCAAAGTGACCGTCTGCCTCAGATTGTAGTCTGTCTAAATCGCTAGTGGATTCATGAGAAAACTGCAACAGCAAGCAACACACGGTCCTTTGCATTGGGTCCCCGAGCCTGTGGGTCGCAACAATAGTGCTCTCCACCGATGTCCTCCAAACAGGATGCTCGGTGCAGTGGCGATGTTGGCAAGGCAGTACATAGAACCGCTGTGCAGTTTCACTCACAATCTATGTTTGAAAGTCCAAGGTGGCCCCCTTTGTTTTTATTGATCAAATTGTCCATTTGGATCTAGATTATGACATGCCACTATTATCCCTTGCAAGTGAGTCTGTTGTCATCAATGCTGAAAAGCTCTGCCACTCGCTTTCCCAAGTGGAAGGCCTTGTATGTTCAGCATGACGTGGTTTCTTATTGTTGCAAAATCTCCTAACTGTATAACAATTGTTCATACATTTTCCAGCCAAATCCAGCAAAGGGCAAAGGACAAATTACTGTAGATTGTCAAGGGTTCCCAAGGAGCGTCTCTCCCTCTCTTCCTCACCCTCTCCGTGTCTTTATCTTTCATTTGACACCGTAAGGATAAAACCACAAGTGAGTCCTGGACCACTGCATCGTGAGGGCAAGCAATGATTCGCCACCGGGTACGCCGATAGTTCACATGGAAAATGAAGTAGTACCCGCTTGTCTTGCAGTCCTAAAAGATGCATCAACGGTTGACTGCATGAAACTTCACATGTTGTCACGATTAACCCTTCCTGAAATTTCATGACTGAACAGTGTGAAGTCTTTAATATTTATTTTGGGATATTGGGGGAGTAAGGAAGACATGAAAACAATGTCCCTTTAATAAGGCCCCCTCTTATAGGAACCTTATTGAAGGGGCCTGTAGCTTATTATTTCCCAACATCTTTGTGTAGAGTTCTTACTTTTACTGTGCATCCCGTCGGCCTTCCGCCTTGCTCCTCCTTGTACATTTTGTTCATTCACTTGCACTCACTCATTTACACTCGTACACTGACCGCTCACTCACCTACAATCACTCACTTGCACTCTTTCACTTACACTCGCACACTGTGACTTACACCCACTCATTTACATTCACTCACTTGCTGTGGTCGGCTAGTTTCATGCCTTTGTATTTCCCTGCATTTTGCAGGATGGGAGGTTCTGCAAAGGCGCCTTGGTCCGCTGCAGTCGGCTGCGGTCAGCTCGTTTCCTGCAGCCCTTGTGCTTCCCTGGCTGCTCCCTGCCGTTTGCTCGCTCGCAGGGGGATGGGAGGTTCTGCTCACTTACATTCATTGTTATCTCACTCACTCACCCAGCTATAAATCAGAGCAATTCCAGGCGGTAGCTTTCGTGCAAGCAAGGCGTGTTCACGGACAATCTCATAGTATATGGCTGTATGTTGTGCATACACCTTCAAGGTGCTCCAAACATTTCCATATGTATGCATATCTGAAGTGTATGTCTGTAGTGTAGCAACTTGTAGTCCCTGGGAAGCACCTAGGCAAGTGGTCAAAGTTGCAAAGTGGTCTAACTAGCACGGATCTAGCGCACCCCTCCGCCAGCGCCACAGGCCACCAAGTGGCCGTGATCAAGAGCGCACGTTCCGGTCTGGGTTTGGCTTGCTGGCTTTGACAATTGTTGTCTTTTCCATACACTAGCAATCTAAAAACAGTGGGAGCATCCTCTTGGGCCTGTGTGGAAACACAGTAGGAACATCCTCTATGACTTAGCAGCGACTAGCGCCAGGCGCCAGCCCTAGCGCAAGTCTAGCACAATGCTGCGTTTGCTAGCACGACACAAGACCGGGTTCTATGTTCAGCCCATGTAGGGTTTTCGGGTCCTGTAATTTCCTTGCTAGAAGTGATGGAGTTGCACAGTTGTCTCACCTCTGCAGCTCTCCTTGTAGCCTGTGAGCTCTTCATCCCCGCGCACCTGGGCATCACTCTTGTGGCAAACATCTGTATCCTCATTCTACATTCAGTAGCTGCCATGTGTCAAGCCAAACCTGAATTATATATTGCGTTCCAAACAGCATGATCAAATTGGCCTTTCAAATCCAGAACCAGTAGCTTTCATACAAGCAAGGGCAAATCTTTGGAGCGACACCGTTAAACACTTGACCATGCCCAATGCCACAACTACGCAAACCGCGCAAACTACTCCAAGCTGGAAGATTTGCATCCAGCTGGGACTGGGATGGAGAGAGTTGCTTGATGTTGAATCATCCATGTTGCTTTCTGATTTCTTGAGGAGTCTGCGACACCAATTGCAATGAGCCAGTTGATGCTCTGAACTTGTTCAACTCTGCTTAACCTTGGCCAAGGTGCACGGTGCTCGCTTGGAGAATCCAATCAAGAATGTGACATGTTGTTTGCCACTTTACACTTTAAACATTCCCCGGACAAAAAGCGGCTATTTTCCTAGTGCTTGCATGAGTTGGCCAGTCTTTGCTGAGTCTGAAAAGTCAATCGTATTTTCTTCCAAGTGGTATTGAAAACGGTGAAACCTTTAGGTTTGTCAGGGTTGTCATACAACAGGAAGGCATTGGGTCGCCACCAGCGTCCCATGTCTTGCTGCATGAGGTGGTTTGCATTGGGAAGTAGCAGCTTCGAGTAGTTGCATCATCACAGCTGACAAGAAAAGCCTGAAGAAGCAACCACATTGCTGCTGGCATATCCATTCTTAACCTTCGTTGAATTTGTTGGCTTGCCACCAAGCTGTTGCCCCTTTAAGCACTGTTGCTTGGCCTTCTTGCGCACTAAGCCTATGTGAACTGGGCTGCATCTCCAATCTGTCCTGACTTGCCCAGATAATCGCTGTTCTATGGAACAAAACCATGACTAGATTCTAAGATTCAAACAAGCAAGAATTAGGGCGAGGAATAGCACGCAGCCGGCATGTCTTCCAGTTTGTCGGAGTCTCACTGTTGTGGCTTGAGAGAGGAGGGGGTGAACGAAAGGTAGCTACGAGGTAAGCAAGAGCTTATAGTCGAAACGCCAGCACATGCTTTTCGTTGTGGTTGTGAGCTTGAAGGGTTCACGGTTGATGCACATCTGAAGCCCTTTTCTTTGCTGGAAAAAGACAAAGAGCGTCTTCCGCTTTTGAGGGTTATGAGCCCAAGGCGCTAACCACAGCGCCTTTTTGGGTTCGGCCTTTGACGCCATGAGCGAAGGTGTGGGGTCAGAAAAAACCCCTGAGTCCAATGGCATGAGAGCCATTGAGGATGTGCCTCCTTGAGAGGGGGTGGTGGCTCTGCCATCGGGTCCACCGGTGGTCCTCAGTCCGGCCAATTGGAACCCTTTTTGGTCGGAAGAGATGCGAGACGAGGCGATACTTCGTGCTCTCAGGCCAGCTGATTTGCCTGAGTCGCCAGAGCTTCTTTCGACTGAGCCGTCTGCGGTGAGCCCTCCGAAAGATGGATCGGAGGCAGTCAGAGCGGTGATCCAAGGTCTGGTGGCAGAAAATGCCAGGCTATGGAGTGAGCGAGACGCTTGGATGCATGCACAACACCACGGCCGCATGAATTTTTCTCAGGACCAGTGGTGCCATCCTCAGCCATGGCCGATGGGCGCTGTCGAAGGGCTCGCAAGAGATCGAAGTTTTGTTGGGTCTATGTTTGAAGCGGTGAAGATGTCTGTTGGGTCACCAGGTGTTCCAAAGGACAAGGGCTTGTTGGGGGCGCTGGGCAACGGAGATCAAGGAGGTCTTTGAGGTCATGAATCCCTTTTACCCGATTATGGTGTTCCTCAACAACAACCATCAGTGCCTAGGGCGAGTTTGATGGACGTTTTCAACAGGGTGTCATCAGCGACCGCTGGTGGTGTGGTCTCTTCGCTGTTCCCGGGCGTGTTGGAAGCTCCTCGATCGTGGATGGGTGGTGGTACTTCAGGAGGACCTGGGGGTTCTCAGGTGGTCCAGGAGGAAGCTCAAAAGGGCTATGACTCGGTGGGCTCCAAGGGTGGCGCCGTCGGTCGTGATGGAGGTTCGGGACAAGAACATCATAGGGGAAAAGCTGACCAGGTGTTTGGCCCAGGGGGTGAAGACCAACCAAGGACAAGGCTGCTCAGCTTCAGGGGTCGTCGTCCGGCGGCGCTCGTGGCGGAGGGCGTGGCGGAGGTGACGGTCTTGATCGTGAGCTACCTGGTGGAACATCAGGGGGTCTTCCTAGTGGACCTGGTGGTGGATACCCTGGTGGTAACCCTGGTGGTGGTTTCCCTGGCGGCAATCCTGGTGGTGGATACCCTGGTGGCAATCCTGGTGGTGGATA